CACACACACACACACACACACACACACACACACACACACACACACACACACAAAAAAAAATCAGCATCCGTACCCATGGGGACCAGGCTTTGGTCTCAATTAGGCTGCGTTTGTCTGGAAAATAGTCCCCACACACATCCTTGTACTTGCATCAAACTGAGGACTTTCTATTGACTTATTCTATTGATTCATTTTTGTAATTATATTTATGCCCAACTCAGATATTTTCCCTAAAACTAATCATTACTGTCTATAGCTAATCCTAACCTGAACCAAAACTTAATTCACACCATACCTCTAAACCTAACCAGTAAAGTGTAGTAGAACTGCAAATAAAGTAAGGATATGGAAGAGGTCCTCAAAACCTCACTTTGATAGTAACTATGATGCAAATGGTCCTCACTCTGTAGTAAAAACAAGTACACACACACAAAGGGCCCCATGAGGATGGAAGTTATTAGCATTTTAATATGAAGAGCCAATTGGTGCAATAAATTAGAAGATAAAAACTGTTCTCACTCTGAATTTTCTCTAAGTGCCCTATATTTAAGATTATAGCTGGTYTTTAGGTAAAACTAGACCCAGTCTGTTTTGTCTGGGTGATTGTTTCCTCACCCGTTTTTATCAGCTACTCAGTTTATTTTTGGTCCATTTGCCAATCTGTTAGCAGAATGTGTTAGGAACCACTGGGCTGATTGGATTAGAAAGTAATCATTCAATATACAACTTGCACTAACCAAGTTTTGAAGTCAACCTAGTTTGAGATGGATGCCTCACAAAAATATAAACACAAAAATGGCTATTACTCTGTCAGTTTTAAAAATATTGAGCTGAAAATTGGGGTGGTAGTAGCTTAGACATCCAACATGAAGCTTGGGCTGATCCAAAAACTTTGGTATTACCTGTTCATGAACCACTGGAGTGATCGGCATCAACCTGATTAAAGATGGCCGCTACAGCTAATCGACCTTAGCCTACACAAAAATGGCTGTAATTCAGTCAGTTTTACAAATATGACGATAAAATTTGGTATCTTAGTTGCTGAGCGCCACTCCAAACACATACCTTTAGCTTTAGCAGATTGCTTGAGATTTCTTAATAATAATATTAATAAATATTTTCTTCCCAAAATATAAATTCATTCTTTGCATCACACATTTACTAAAATAATCACCTAAGCCATTTTTTCCAACTTTGTTAGGAATGTCAAAAAAATGTCATAGTACATTTTGTATTTCCTGAAAAACTTTATAAAAATTGACTTAAGCTATTATTGTTGGAAGGTGTTCTCATGTAGACCCGAGGTGTGGCATCTAAGGTGCCTGAGGAGGAGCTGAGGGGTTGTTGAGGGCCATGCTCAAGGGCCCACCGTGGGGCACATACTGGTGGAGGCAGATGTGCATGCTACACTTTTCTCTCTTAAATTTTRAGTGCCGGTCAGGGGATTTGAACCTGCRACCTCTCGATCAAAGGCTACGTTCACACTGCAGGCAAATGTGACCCAAATCCGATTTTTTTGACCCATCTGACCCATATCCGATTTTTTATGACAGTCTGAACGCGACAAATCCGATTTTTTCAAATCCGACCCAGGCCGTTTCAGTATGTGGTTTTAAATCAGATA